ATATTGCAGTCGGGCGTTACTGACTTTGCAACACTCATTCAGCCCAAACGTTGTCGACTGTGCTTCAAGCGCCCTTTAGATGTAGATATATGTATATATATGCCATAACTGTTTCGACTTGCCAAACAAAAATACTCATTTCACTTTCATAAATGAGCAGAATATGAACTTTATTTATTTTCTTTTATTTACATATATTTACCGCCATTTTTACTCAGCAAAAAATTATTGTTTTGAAATCAAAAGAAATATTAATAAAGCTTTAGCTCTTTTGCTAAAAATCTGTTTTCAACACATTTTATAAAAAATTAAAACGAAATAAAATAAATATGAATATAAATTTTTTTAATACAATATTTCCAACCTTTTTTCTCTGTAAAAAAAAAAAAAAACAACAAAAATTAAATATATAAAGCAAACTTATATTCCCCTGAAAAGTTAGCCATTTATACGCTACGCTGTGCTGCGCTGTGATGTATGCTATGTTTTTTTTTAACATTTAATAATATTTTGCCACAGCCTAACAGTCTCACCTAGGCCAGAGCTATGGCAGCACATTCCATCGTTTGCATTGCTTCAAATGCCCATCTCTGCTTTTTTACTGCTAAACGGTTTCGACTGTCCTCCGTTTTCTTTATTGCCGCTGCTGCTGCTGCTGCTGCTGCTGCTGCTGCTGCTGCTTCTGGATAGTCGTTGATGCCTGCTGTCACGTACGCAACGCACATTTTCACGTATTTCAAATATTTTCCAAAAATTACCCAATTTTCTCCTAAAAAAAAATGTCGGACTGTTGGACAAGATGTCAACAGAGAAAATTGTGGAACATCTCAAAAAGAACTGAGGACAAAATAAATTTGGTGTATTCTCAAACAATTATTGGATTTTTTTTTTTATTATTTTGTATTTTTATTAATAATTATTTTGTGAAGATTTTCGCCTTTTCGATCATAACTTGTTAGATTTGTTGTTGTATCATATGCTCGCATCTTCGTTTGAATTATGCTTAAAGATATTTACAGAGCTTCGTTTCGATTTGCATTTTTTTTATTGTTGTTAAATTCAAATTAAATTACTTTATGGCATTTGGTTTTGTTTTTAGTATGCAGCTTGTTTTCTTTTTTTTTTTTCTTGCTTTTGTTTAATTCATCGTATATATATTTATTTATATATATATTCGAATGCATTTTATCTTACTTTTTTTTTTTTCTTGTATACATCTAAGAATTGAGTTTTAAATACACAAATAATTTACACTTACAATTATCATATATATATATTTATATATATTTTTTATATATTTTCTTTTGCATTAATATTTATTCAAGTGTAGTTTATAGCGTTGATTAAGTGGGACTTAAAAACAGTTTACAGTTTACAACAATGCACATTGATTTTCATTAAAGTTTTATATATATAGATGCACTTAAATCTGATTGCTCGCACTCATACACACACACAGATACAGTCAGTCATACACAATCACACTCACACTCATATCGTCTACTTAATTAGCATTTAAATGTCTGCACATTGATATTTAAATTATGCATAAATTTATTCGCTTAGTATTTAAAATGTTTGCATTCATTTTATGGTTTTGCTCTTTTTTTTTCTCGTTTTGACATCTTAATACTAATTTAGTTAGGATTTTAATTCAAGTATTTACACCATAACATTTATAAATATGTCGATATTGTTTTTGTATTTAATGACAATTAAATTTCAAATTAAAATTGCAATTGCAATCGGAAATCAAATTTTTTTTTTTTATTATTATGGAGAAAGAGCGAAATGGACAAAGCGTTTTTGATATGGCGCTGCTGTCGGGGCTATTTACATAAATGAATAATTGTGTTTTGAATGTTGAATGCATTTTGACTCTTCATTAAGGCTTAATCACAATCATTTCTCTATTGTTTTTTTTTTTTTTCTTTATTTGTTTGTTGATGACTTTCGCATTGTTGTCTCTAAAAATTTGGCTAACTAAAATGTTAACATTTATAAACATTTTTGGTTTGTTTTATCTTTTTTTTTTTTTTTTTCTTTTTCTTTTATGTCAATTTATAGCAAAATAACATGGAATGTTATTAGTAGTTCATTCTTAATCAATTCATCAAGTTCTTGACTAAATAATAATATATGTATATATGTTTATATTTATAGGTACGTTGGCTGTACATACTAAAATACGGACAGAGAACAGATCGAACACTTAATGTTTAAATATATTTCGCTTTATTTCATTATTATTATTATTATTTTTTAAATTTATTTTATCATTTTGTTTTCTTTTGCATATTTGTTAATTGAGCTCACATACATGCATATACACATACATTAAAAAATTTGGCAATTTATAAATTTACGATATGTTTTTGTTAGTTTTAAGACCTTTCGACAGTCACCAGCTTTTAAATGCTACATTTGATTAGATTCCATTCAAAAACTTTCTTTGCTTTCTTCATTTTTTTTTTTTGTTTCGTTATGTGAGAAAGATTTGTGAAAATACAAAAATTTGATACGAGTGCATGGAAAATGAATTAAATATATATTTCGAAAATATTTAACAACATTGTGGAAAAATGAAAAGTCACATAGCCTAAATAAATGTTTCGCTTAACTTTAGTCGAATGCATTCGCAAATTGCATTCAAAATTTCTTTTAAAATTCCATTTATTGTTATTATAATTTATGTGCTTATTTGGTTTTTCATGATTTTAGCTACATAATGCTTAAAACTAATTTAAATTTAATTATATATGTTTCTTAAATTTATGCATATATATTTTTTAATATATATATTTTGTTTTGCTCTTATTTAAACTCGTTCCTTTTTAGCAGAGCTCAACTCTGAGCGCTTTTATTTTGTTTGTTTTTTTTTTTTCATATTTTTGATGTGTTGTTTGCTTTTAATTTTAATATTAAGTTTTGCCTTTGTTTATATTAATTATACTTTGCTTTTTCTCTTTTTTCTGTTTTAATCTTTTGTGTGGAATTACTTATAAATTAATAACATACAATACACACATTCATTATTAACTATTTACAGTTTTACCAATAACTTTTGAATACGCTCAACAATTTCTTCATTTTTATTTTTTCCCAGCTAAAAACAGGTTTCGTGGCTCTATTTAAAATATATAAATATACGTAGTTTATATTTTATTAAATTTAAATATTTTATGCATATAAATATGTTTTCTTTTATGTTTATACAAATTAAATTCAAGAAAGCTTTTGTTAACGACATAAATAAATTAGCAATTTTTGCAGCTTTTCATTTTTGGTTTTCTTTTTTTTTCCTTTTTTTTATTTTTTTTTTTTTAAAAGATTTTTTTATGCTTTTGATTTTCATTTTCTGCGAAGCGAAGACGGAAAATTCAGTGGAAAAAATGGGCGGGGCATAGGCAAGGCTAACTTAATGCAGCTACCGCGCAGTCAGCAACAGCTGCCGACGCTGCGCTGCTGAGAGAGAATCTTGAAGCGTTTGCTCAACATGAATGAACTGCGCTCTGAGCTTATCATTGGGCTTATCATTGCCTTGCTCTTGCTCTGGCCTAACAACATTTATCGAAGCTCGATGCACGCGGACCCGCGGACCGAACCCAGCCTTGCTGCTGTGCCTGAACGCCGGCCAGTTGGAGTGGAGGCTGCCGCCCGCTAAGGTGGCAGCCAGGGCCAGCGCCAGCAGCAGCAGGGCATTGGGCGCCCGGGCCATTAGTAGCGAGTCCGTATTGCTGGCTGCATTTGGTTGAAGAAAAAGCGATAAGATTTTGGTAACAAATATTTCCCGGTATGACATACCTTGCACCGGATCGGCGCGCGAGTTGCTGGCGAAGGCGCTGTCGCTCTCTCGCGACTCCAGGACCGGCGCCTTCTGCGGCCGATCGCCCTCCACGGACTCCTCGTTGCTGCGCCAGTAGAACGACGAGAGAGCAGCCACGCACTGTAAAGTCAATGTTCGCATCAGTCAATCAATCAATCAATCAAATCAAATCTCAGCCATTCCACTCACCTTCAGCTTCATGTCGCCATTGCGAAAATGATGTTGTTCCACGCGAAACTGCAAGCCCAGCACCGAGGTCTCGAGGCCCTCGCGGCCCGACACAATCGTCTCGTATTTGCGTAGCTTCTGCGGCTCGGCCGGCTCACCGTTCACATACCAGGTGAGATTGACGGCCGGCTTGGAGCGGCCGGCGGTGCAGTTGATGCGCACCCAGTCGCCGATTTGGTAACGCGGACGTCCTCCAATTATTTTCGGCGGTCCCTGATCGGGCAGAGCTGCAAGAGTGGAGAGGAAGCAACAGACGGAAGACTGGTTAGTTGCTGCCATGGCTAACGAAGTCAAGCTGTGCTGAATTTAATTTACGGCTAGTTACAGACAGCACAGACGGCCCCTCCCACCCACGCCCCATGCCCCGCCTGCAAGCCTTGCCTCTGCCAAAGCATCGAAATACCATAATAAACCAAAACCCAAGTCAGCAGCAACAGCAGCAGCAACAACAAAGTCGCCGGCGCCCATCCGGAAATTCAATAAAAGTTCCAGCCGCTGATGCACTGACAGACTGCTGATAAAATTGCAATAATAAAAAAAAAGAAGCAAACTAAAGAAAACAAGCGAAATAAAAATAAAATTGAAATGAAGGCAAATCGTGACTTGATCGCATCGCATCTGTTAATACTCTAACAAGGAAAGCAAAGTGCATGCATTAGTGGAGCGAAGTGCAGTTAATTTAGCATAGCAGTGAGACAGAGCAATGTTATGTTAACAGAGCTGGCGTTGATTACTGACAAGTCAGTTAACAGTTGTCTCTACTCTGGTTTGATAACAGAGCCTAAGCGTGTTCATTAACAGACTTGGCTTACTGCTGAATCTTAACAGTTATGCTATGGTGTAATGTCAACAGAGCTTTTGAGTGTTCATTAACAGAGACGTGTTTATGTCTATTCTTGAATTAATAAACAGACGATTCGCTCTGTAATGTTAGCTTTGTCTGGCCATTTTCAGAGCAGTATTTTTCGCTTATTTGTAAATTTAACTGTTTTAAATGTTATGCTATTTGACAATATGTTAAATAATGAATTAATTAATACCTCTTTGTGTGTTAGCCCCATATTATTATTTCATATACGAGCATTATTTACCTATATTTCCTTAAATTTGTAATTTTCGCTTGACTCATATTTGTCCATTAATAAATCCTTTAAAGTTTTCTAATTCTGCTGTGCTAGCTCTAAAATGTTTACCGAAAGCGATTTACATACAAATCCCTCTCACAGTTGCTCAAATTGATTATAATAGCAGAGACTCTGTTAAACAAGAGAGCTTTGCATATTGAGCATCAATTTAACAGTTTAGTGTTTTAGACAATTTCTAATGTGTAAATTTAAAGTAATTAACATATGAATGTAAGAGTCGATTGAACACAGTTGTGTTAATCAACATAGCTCTGTTATGATAACATTTTTTTCATATGCTAATCCATAGCCTTGCCTTGAAAACATAACAGCTTAGTGTAATATGACAATGCTGCTCAAATACTTCTGTTAACTGAGTCCCAACTATTGTCCAATATAGATTTGCATATCAAATGTAAATTTATTGAACTTGATTTACATTTTCTCTTCTCTGCTTCTCTGTTTATTTTCATCATCTAAACTAGATATTATTATTATTTATCTGCTAACAAAGTCTGGCTAGCAGCCTTTCACGTTAACGTGAAACGGACTCGCAAAACAAATTGTCAAACTAATAAAAGCAATGCAGTTAGCCAGGCCAGCCATAGCATGAGCCCCGGCTCTGGCATGCTGATGCATCCTGACATGCTGTTGACTGTGCGTCATGACAAAGTTCTAATACCCGTTCTACGGCTCGCGAAGACTATAAATCAGTGCTGAGCAGAACTATGCGAGCGGAAACGGAAATGGCTTTTTTGCCAGAAGGTCTAACGGCAGCTGTGGGCGCAGAGAGCTGTAAACTGCCAAAAACTGGACTCGGAGCTGTGGCATATGCGAGCCAGTTATTGCTGTTGTTGCATCTGTTGTTGTTGCTGTTGTTGTTGAAGCTTTTAAAAAGTTTGATTGAAAGCCAAACAGGCAGCCTGCACAATATGAGCAACACAAAAGCCAAAACAAAAGCGCGTTAGAACAAAGACAAAGCCAGCACCAGATGAGAGAGGAATAGAAATGCCATGCTAGCGAGGGAGAGACAGAGAGAGAGAGAGAGAGGGAGGCATAGTGGGTGCCACAACAACTCTCCTCTGTCCACGCAAAAGTTTATAATTGAACAAACGAAATGTCAACGCCAGCTCAAAGCGTTCCGGTTTGCCTCGCCCACGTGTGACTCTCGTTGTCCATGGCAATAAGCGTGATTTCCGGTCTGAGCCTCGAGCCCTGCAAGCATTTCACAAAATGTTGTTGCTGCTCCAGCTCCTGCTGCTCCTGCTCCAGCTCCTGCTGCTGTTGTTATGTTGTTTGCATTTCGAGTTGGTCGCGACATCTTCGAAATTCTTGTTCCGCCTCCAGCAAATTGCTGAGCAAGACAGACAGTTGCAAAATTGAGTTAGAGACGCTAAGCTTTGGCAGGTTGGCGACCACAAGCAGGAGAAGGACAGGAGCAGGGGCATGTGGCATGCCCATGTGGCATGCGGCTTGGGGCCACAACTGAGAGTTTTGTTAAGCTTATTATAAACACGAAATCAAATGAAGCCTGTCAAATGCAGTTCAACACTTGAGCAGCCGGCAATCAACAATTGAATTTGCCTTCGCCCAAATGAAGTGGACCAAATTGAATATGAAACACCAGCAACAACAACAACAACAAGAGCTAAGGCAGCTGGTCCAAGTTCTGTAATTTATAATTGCTTCGAGCGTGTTGATAATCACTGAGCTCCTTACATATGCACAGATTAATGCCAACTATGCAATTAGCCGTAATTTAGAGTCGGCTGATTGACGCTTCCCTTGAATTATTGGTTTAATTCTTACAATTATTGTCCAGCAGTCAAGTTGCTGCTGCGAGCTCCTAAGTCTAAGAAGTTTGCTTAACTCACAGTTGACTGCTCGAACTGTCTTAGCTCCTCTTCTGATATGTTGGGGTAATGTCTGAATAAGCTTTGAGCACTTGCTAGAGGCTGGTTAAAAGTTGATTATGCTTATGTCAAGCTCTTAACGTGAGCTCTAGGCATGTTTTGGCCAAGAAATTCCTTTGCTAATCTCTTCAAAAATATCGGCAATCTATGCATTCTTCACTTTTCAAGCTGATCAAATATTTTGCACGCTCAACAATAAAGATTACTGTCATCTATAAATATAAAAGGCAAGCAAAATACCTAGCCAATCTTGTAGTTTATATAACTTACTATATCTACTGTCTATTCAACTGATTAAGTTAACTTTTTGTTCAAGTTCTATTTATTCCTTAACATATCCCTTCAATTACATGCGATTTCTCTACTTATTTCACTTGCTACACAGCCATAATGAGACTTACCTGGCTCTTGACACCCCTTCTCTCACCCCTCTCTCACTTCCCCCATCTGCAGCCTCTACAGCACCCTAGACACAATTAAACTTCAAGAATTGATAGATGGACACTCCAGACGTTACACTTGAGTCTAGTTGATTGCACTACCCAAGCCCTAATCGCCACTCTCAGTAAACTCTCTCTCTCTCTCTCTCTCTCTCACTCTATGGCTATGCTGCGCCAATTTCCAATTAGAATTATATGTTTTCGCCAGAGTTCAATTACTATGGAGCAGCTCTCCTATTACTATTATTGGTATACTTACACACAACAACCATGTCGCCATGCTCGGTGACCGTTTGGAAGGATGGCGCCTCGCCGGATACCTCGCAGCGGAAGCGGCCAGCCGACTGCAGATTGACGTTGTGCAGGTTAACAATCGCATCGCTCGAGTTGTGCAACTGCAATTAAAAATGGTTTGAATGTGTTAAGAGTAGAGTAAAATAAAGGCAGCTAAAGCAATGTAAACGAAAAGTGGCAAAAGTTGTAAGACCAAAAAGGATGCCGCTGTCCGTCCTTCGTTTCCAGTTCTCAGTTTCCAGTTTCCAGTTTCCATTTACAATAGCCGCCACTTTGAGCGTTAATGTAACGTAATTGTTTTTGAGAACCGGCTCAAAATGCTTTTTCAATGTTTTTGCTACTCTTGAAGGCACACAGAGCCCACTTGGTCAATTTAAGGGTCAGTCGCGTACGCTAGGCGCATGTTTCACTTCAGCTTTAAGCCATTAAGCTGCTTTGCTGGCCGCCGCAGCCGCCGCCGCCGCCGCCTGTTTGTTTTACCCGCTCAAGGAATGCAGGGAGCTTATTGGTTTTGTTCTACGTCCGTCTGGCTGTCCATGCGTAAGCCATTTTGCTGCCATTGAAGCTGGACACTTGGCATTTGGAGAGACGAGAAATCCTATGTGATAGTGATTAGACTTATCCGATTGACCGACTATACGAGTATTGGCTTTGAAGAGGTT